ATAGTATGGAAGTTCAAAACTGGGATTGGCTATGGTCAGCTAGTGACATACACTATGAATTTAATCTACCCGTAATTATATAGCGATAATGCGTATTTTTTGCTATAAAACGCACAGTCCGATTCCCAGCAAACTATAGCGGCTTGTTTACAGTGACATTAATATATCAAGTAAGATACTATGATTATCTATGATTGTAATTACAGTTGTATATACTTCAACAACAGATATGGATTGTGATCACACAAGTGAAAGACGGCTCAAATTGGAGTACAACAACGGGACTGTCAAATATATTTGTAAGAGTTGCATTAAAAAATATGCACGTACAGGACAACTTCAAAAAGAAAAAGGAAGTATGACAACTAAATCAAAGAGAGATGTGGAGAGAGTTCTCGATGAATAGCAATAACTTTAAAATGTACAGACATTAATTTGCTAATATAGGCTATGTAGTTTTAATGTTGAGTTAAACACTTGATAAAATTACACTATTTATCATAGGGTGATGTGTGGCAACAATACCATGGCGTTACAAAGTATACAATGCATTGATAAGTATAACTATTAGAGCAAAACAAGCTTTTGCTATAAAATCTATTCATGCACTAGAGCCTTAAAGGACTGCACATACAATGTACATGGCCCTATCTATAAGCACTACTAGTCTAGTGAAGTATCTCCATTTTTATAGTTTATAGATCTAGTATGTCATGTATAAAATTCAAAAAGCATTTTGAACATGCAACAAAGAAGTAAACACTTTGCATCTTGCTAAGCACTTATAGTTGTGTTTGTCTTGATTTACACCCCATGCAATATTTGCATGGAGTTGCAATTGTAAATTATAAAACTATTTACATAGTTGAACCAGTGCCTTGGGTATGTTTGGTATGCTGTATGCATCAAATCTTCAGTCATAATAAGCTATCTTGAACAAATCAATATCAAAAATCAATACTAAATTACAAAAGTATTATTCATTCCTATGGCATCCAATGTATTGGAATAGCCGAAATTCATATATACAAGGAATGTCATTACAATAAACTTGTATTCCGTACGGGTTTTCATCTAGTGGCACACCTCTAGATTGATTCAATTTCGGTAATGGAACTGCAACAGCTTGAGACAAATCACATTCTTCAACTTTACCATTTGGATTAACTGAATAAACGATACAATTATCTGCCAATATTGAATTGACCTCGTCTTTAAGCTCCTTAAAAATACTGTGAAATTTAACCAGCAGTGAGTCATAAGTATAATTTACACTTTACCCTTTTGATGGTTGATATTGAATGAAGTGGTTTGTTCTTGATTCAGCTCCAATCTTCAAAGGTCGTATAGCCATTAGAATAGCATCTTTCTTAAAGCATCTGTCTGGTGCATAAAGCTTTTCAAGCAGCAAGTTAGCTATTAAAAAACATTATTATGACCACAGACAATAATGCTAACAATAACATGAAATTAGTAATGGTCATATACATATG